GTTCTGCCGCGTGAGGGATGAAACGTCGGTAGAAGTTAACCAAACCGAGAAAAGCCTTCAGTTCCTTGAGTGAAGACAGCACGTTGTACTCCTTGATTGCTCGAATTTTGTCCTCGCAAGGCAGAATACCCTCTTGCCTGATGATGTGACCCAAAAATATTATTTCTGATTTACCCAATTCACATTTCTCTGGGTTGACTACTATTCCATTATCCGAAAGACGTTGGAATAATAGCGTAAGATGTTGATAATGTTCATCTACGCTTGATGATGCGATCAGCAGGTCATCAATATAGACGTGAACAAAATCCAAGTCTCGTACTATGCTATCGATAAACCTTTGGAAAGTTTGAGCAGCATTCCGTAATCCGAATGGCATTCGTAGGAACTCAAACAGACCGAACGGAGTCGTGATAGCAGTTTTTTCGATGTCTTCAAGAGCGACTGGGATCTGGTGATATGCTCGTACCAGATCGATTTTAGAAAAGATAGTCGTGCCCTTGAGCGATGCCGTGATGTCGTGTATGTGGGGGATGGGGTAACTATCAAAGCGCGTAACTACGTTTAATGCTCGGTAGTCGCCGCATGGTCTCCAACTAACCCCATCCTTTTTGCGCACCATGTGTAAAGGAGAGGCCCAAGGACTGTGAGAAGGACGAATAATACCAGCAGATAGTAAATTGTCAAACTCACGTTTAGCGAAGGCTAATTTGTCCGGTGCCAGTCGGCGTGGTCTTGCCGTGACTGGTGGTCCGCGGGTGACTATGTGGTGTACCACACGATTGGTCACCGATGAAATCTCCTCGAGTGGTTTAGTTAATCTGGGGAATTTCTCGAATAAAGCGTGGAATTTATCGTCACGCGAATAAAAAGTGCCGAGGATTCGGTACGCGTTTGTGTGAGCTTTAAAGCCCATGAATTTACTGTTCGACGAAGTATCGATTAGCTGCAGCCTACGTGAATCGACTAGCAATTCATAGTGCTGTAGGAAATCAATACCTAGTATGGCTGTGGGAACATCAGCAATGATGAACGTCCACAGATACCGTCGTCGGTTGCCCAGGTTGACCGCGAGTTGTCGTGTACCGTAGGTAGGAATGGCTGAGCCATTTGCAGCGCGTAGTCGAAGCATTGTAGCTTGTGACTTGATGCTACCTCGTGGTACGACAGAAACTTGGGCACCTGTATCCACTAGGTACCTAGCGTTTGTGCGATAATCGTGCACGTAAAATAAACGGCCAACCTGGGGGGCAGGGCCGGCGAGTACGGCCGCTTTTACTCGCCGGCTTTGGAGTTTCCCGCCTTGTATGAGCACGGGGCTCGACAACGGCGGGCACCAGATCTGAAGGATCGATGAAACCAGCACCAACCTTCACTCGCTTCCGAAGCCGCCTTTTGGCGTGGCTTGGAAGATGCCCTCGTTGGGCGAGTGTTGACGGCTTTTCGAGAGCGTGAGTGGACTCGAGGGACGTAGGGTTGGGGTACGTTACAACGGTCTCGAAAACTAAGACGTGTGTGAATACACCCTTCCCTGTCACCTTGAGCCGAGGAGTGGCTGCCGTCGATATCGACTTTCGGACGCGACGTTGAGGCAACTACGTAGTTGTCTCGGTTGCCAGTCCTAGCTAGAATTTTGTCTGCTGTGAGGGCTACCTGTTTCAGTGGTGCGTCCTCGAGCAGGGCCGTAACTGTAGGTTGGATAAATGCTGGTAGAGATTCGAGCCACAGTTCTTTAACGATTTCAGAATCGGCTGCCGTGGGTCCTGCAAGAGATTGCAGGCGCGTGAGGTGGTGGCTCGGTTTAGCATCACCCAGGGGGTGACGTGCTAATAACGTCCTCAATCGTTCCTCCCTCGATGGGAGGAAATGTCTGAGGATCGCCTCCTTGAGACGATCGTAAACATTGGGCACATTGGAATTGAGGACAACCTCACGGACAGCTACTAAATGGTCTCCCGGTAAACATTCGAGAGCGTAAGTGTACTTCTGCCGTTGGCTTGTAATATGACGGGTCTCAAATTGAGACTCTATAGCAGCAAACCAAACTTCGGGATCGTGAGGAATAAAAGATACAGGTCGAAAGTGTATAACCTGTACGTCAGAGTCTATTACGTTAATACTATTCTTATCGTTATCCGTCATGTCAAATATATTATATGTTAAAAATTAATATGAAAATATATGACAGACGTGGATAGATAAGCGATAGACTCACCAAAATTGACTTCTTTGGAAGGTTTGGTTGCGATTGCCAAGTGGTCGTAGATGTAGGTTCACCAGTTGCAGAAGATTTGACCGAAGTTGAGGCGTGTTCCGAAATTTGGCTCACCAAATGTAGCGTGGTGTCGAGTTGAGCTTGACTATGAACACCGCTACAAGACTACGTGCCAATAGACCAATAAGATTCCGGTAGGCCAAAAATCAGAAGGCAGATGATAATAGTAGTTGTAATATATTTGTTGGCAATCTCGTGGTATCGAAAGAATACCGAGATCGTGCCAAAGGAGTACAGGTGCGATCGGCAAGAAAAGATACGTGCGTAGTCGAAAACCGCGTAGAAGCAATGGAATACAATGGAAGACCAAAATGGCTGTTATTAGCACAGTTAAACAAACGAGCACAGTAAAACAGTCACTGGTACAATTGGTTATAATAATAATTGTTTTTATTGAACCAATCGCGTTCTGTTGACAAAAGTAGGTCACTACAAACTTAAGCGGTTAGGTGGAGATCGGGCTCACTCTAGTTCTACCTTTACCGATGAATATTGGGCTGGTCATACCACTCTATCGTTAATATGGACTACATGACTCTATGAAACAGTTGCTACTAAATACCATCTAAACGTTTCCGTCTAATTTCTTTTTGCTTAAACTCAACATTTATTACTGTTAAAATGTATCTTGAGCATCATTTTAAAACACATAGTGCAGCGAACGAGAACACAGGCGGGGACAGGCAACATTACAAAATGTCTTGGTAAAATCTTCATCAATTGTCTCAGACTTCGTTGTTTCTTCGTTTTCGCACCAATCACTCAGTTCTCGCTCTCTTCTTTTCGATTTTCTCAACCTTCTGCCACCAAGCATTGCACTTCCGATTGGTGATACATACTACTTACATCTGTCGACATCAGTAGAACACACCACAATAGTACCTATTTCAATAACTTGCAGTTAGTGTTAATTTATTGTAGAACTCATGTGAATGTTTTTTATTTATTCTGAATGCTACATTGTTTTATGCTCATGTTGTTGATCTGAATTGTTAATCTGATCAACGTTTTCCTGATCTAGAAGTTACTTAAATCAATGTCATATTGTCGCCTGTATTTGTAGATTTTAGACATAATATAAACTATTACCGCTATACATAATGAATAATAGGAGAATATGAATTTATTAGAAACAAATCCCAGCTGTTCAGTGAACTCAATTTGTATTTACTTCTGTTTCATTTGTGCTTAGTGAAGTGATCGGAATTACACTGAAAAATGAAATGATTAGAACAATGTTTCATCACGCTAAACTACAAATAGAAATCTTGAATATCAAACATTTTTACAATCATCTGCTCGTGTTATATGAATTACATGCCTAAATGAAAATGTTAGCAAACTGAAAGTTTCTACTTGCAACATTTCACGGTTTTGGAACATAAAATTTATCGATAACCATAAATATTCACTCTATAATCATCTTATCAAGATAAATTATCAATTTATCGGAAACATAATAAGTTCAAGTGATGTTACACCGTTCCATCTACTTTTAAGTTATTCACGTTGTCAATCAATTACAATCAATCACCAAACTTAATGAACTGTCTCTCTTAGAGTATAGTACTTAATTACCAAGAGATGGCCAAGATCACGCTCTGATCGCTAAATAACAAGGTTATGCTCTCTAAGCCAAATAAACTTAGGATGCAAATGTTCGACTTTTAGTGCTTCCCAATTTTTGAAGCTTAATAGCTATGCATATCTTTAATCTGAAAAGTAAGATTGTATCCCAAGTCATTTATCCCGTAACTATTAAAGCATTGGAAATATGTTATCAACCCTAACTACCACTTAAACAATATACTCAAATTTTAAGTGAAATCCTAATGAATTCATACTTCCCAAATTTGAAAAAAAGGTTCTTTTAAAGTAACACTTTTTGTTCTTCAAATTTTATTGTTTCTCACTTCGAACAGTTTATAACACCGCCAAACAAAAATTCATAATAATAGTCGTAATAGTTGTAATAATACAAATAATGATAATGGAATGTAATTAGTTTATGAAAAATGAAGAATAATACAATAGTATTATGGGTAAATTTTATAAACAATACTTTCCATGTTGTTAAACTGTTTTTTGTACTTAAACGGTTAGTTATACACAAACAAACACGAAAATTAGAAAAATAGCTTATATAAATAATAATAATAATAATAATAATAATAATAATAATAATAATAATAATAATAATAATAGTGTTGTCAGTCAGAAGAAATACATCGTCACATCTGTTTCGTCAGGATAAAAAAGGCAGCAGTGACAAAGAAACGAGAGTAATAATAGTAATAATAATAATAAGTCAGTACAAAAACTTTTAAGCTTTTCTAGTTTACCGAGGCACTGGATAATAGAGAGATGTATTATACAAATATAAGACCTTTATTATTACTGCATATATCGGGATACGATACGAATAAGTGAATGACAAAAGGTAAAAAGAAAACAAGTGATATTTCAATAAAGGCACAGTTCACAATGAGATCGAATTACGGATTTGTTTTCTCTCCTAAACATCATCACAAATGAGAGGAAGAGAGATAGAAAAATATATATACATTTACAATCACAAAGTAGAAACCAATAAATATGTATCTATATAGTGTAAGCTATATATTCCTGAGTATAGAAAAATTAACTAGTTCCTTGATGAACTGAAGTTTTTGAAATAAAAAGAATTCTAACTTCAAATACAAAATAAGATAAAGTTGAATTCACTCACGGTGATGAGAATAGTGTGTAGTGATTGAAAAGTGTAGTGGTCTGGTACCAATAATCAGCGGGGTAAGGAAGGATGACAATATTAATAATAGTAATAATAATAATAGTCATAAACAGTACATTAAGTATACAACATAGAAAAAATAACACTTGGAAAAAATGCATTGTTTATAAGATAAATTTTAATTGGACAAAAAGTAATAATACTAATAATAATAATCTTTCACTAAGTACCGAATTGTCCGAAACGAGATAGCTGATTATTTTCATTACTAAAGTTAAATGGATTTCGCTCTCCGTCACCAATATCAAAACCACCTCTGTCATTATTGTTGTCTTCTTCAACAATCTTTCTATGACCAGAGATTACTGGACGAATTAAATAATTTGATGGTAGACCGGAATCTGTGGAGATTCTTTCATAAACACTAGGGAAACGACTGGAAGAACAAGGATTTGATGAAATGGTGGAACATTCAGTAGTAGTACCACAACGTAATAGATGAGCATCAGATTTATTAGTATCCGTAGAATTTAACTGATATGAATCACTAGGAATTGGATTATTAGAACGGAGGTTTGAAAGTATATCTGAAGTATAAGGCATTGTAGTGCTACAATGATCCGACATTGTCTGATGTGTTTGTTCGAAACACGAAGTAGCAAAACGACTTGTACTTACAGTAGAAGTTTCTCTATTCTGAGAAACTCCTTCTGTTTGTGTAGAATTCCTAAATGAAGACTGACCATACACTTCAGATAGATGGAATTGTTCAGGACTTGGCACGTTGATTTTCACTATCATCGAGTCGGTAGGTTTCAGAGAACCCTGTAATACTCCAGGTATATTAAATTTCACATGACCTCCACGAAATCCTTCAACGAATATACCTGGAAATTCAACTTCATATCGACCTGTTAACGGTTTGGGATTTGCTCTTCGTGGACGACCTAATGGAGGACTGTCAGATAAACTACTACCCCAACATTGACCAACATCTTGTCCAAACATTTCATCAAATTGAAATATTGTTTGAGTGTCATTATCATTAGTAGTATTATTCGTAAAACAACTAATGTAACCACTTGCCGTTGCAGAGGTATTCGTAAATCTACCGCCATTCCCGTTATCATCATTCGATTGGAAAACATCATTATCATCATAATCCTGGATTCCGAAAAACCTTGGTCTACTTCTTTGATTTTGGTCGAAATTTCCTTTTGAAATCAGCATTGTAAAAGGTAAATGAGTATAAGATGATCATATTTTAAAATACTGTTAATTTTATAATTCGTATTATATATATATATATATATATATATATATATATATATATATATATATATATATATATATATATATATATATATATATATATATATACAACGAAGCCATAATAAAATACAATTTTGATTGGTTAAATTTGTCATAAGTTTAGAAACAATTTCGTCATCATTACGATCATAGCAACGTATTACCAAATTATCACTAATATTGACATTACCAGTTTTAAAGGTCAGCAGTTGTGAACAACTTAAATTCTAATATCTTTTGCTGTTAACATTAAAGGATTAAATAAATACTAACAATATGATTTCACTCACGACTCAATACAATTCAGACTCCACACGTATACATGTATACTTAATTTTTTAGTGTATTCTACTTTTGTTCCACAATATTATAGGAAATAAAAGGTATACAGAGAAAAACGAGATAAGTTTTTAAAATGATTCTAAAAACAATTAAGTTATATGATATTGAGCGACCATCTTCCATTGCTTGCAGTGGATAACCGTCTAAAACTCTACATGGTTGCACTCCAGTGATCATGGATTCGCAATACAATTCCAGGAATTACATCCTTAGGCTAGTCACTAGTGAGTACATGATTATTTTCAGTATAGTTTTGTGGATATTGTAGAATTTTCATAGATTTTAAATCGCAAATTGATCTCAGTGAAATAATTATTGAAATTCATGAAACTCTGGATGCCACCTTGATAATCTAAAGGCTAAGTGCTTGCGAGCAAGATCGAAGGTCCTGAGTTTGATTACCGAAGTCGCACTATTGGGGAGTCTCAGACTAGGATCAGACATTCGTCCAGTTTTCACAATTTCAATGATAATCTAAATAAGATCAGTTCATAATTTAAAATCTATGAAGATTCTATAGTCTCCACAAAACCCTATACTGATAATTGGATTTTAAAAAATTTGTTTGAATCACACTTTATTCTTATTGTTTATTAGCATTATTAACAGATGATTGAAAATAAACAGACAAATAATTAAAGACATGCCTTTCCTCCTCATTTCCAAGAAATTAATGATCAGAACAATAACAGAAATCTATTCGATTTACACAATATATAAGTTAAGACTTAAATGTTATAACATGTAGATTGTAATCGATGAAATGATTGAAAATAACTAAATTAGATGAATTATTCAACTGATTCAATAAAATTGATTTAAAAATACTAATCTAAGTACTGCTAACATTGTATACGGATCTACTTCAATGATGTCTGCTTCGAATAAATTGAAAACAGTCGATTTCTATTTGTTATGATTTATCAAAGGTATTGTTATCAAGTAGTGGCCCGTAATCCACATTCACGAATAATACACATTAAAAATTTGAAATTCACCCTATAATCAAGTGGCTATATCTTAATATATCATTAATAGTAATGATAATAATAATAATAAGCTTTGCTACTAATATATATATCAAAACTAGCAAAACGGATACCAGGAGAAAGCTAGCAGAGATTTAACATATGCTAACAAAGATTGACCAGAATTCAGATTACAATATCAATGATAACATAATACCAAATCTTTACGAGTGAGCATCACATCTATCGAACACGCTAATTACTAACTGAACTCAAATACCTTGGCTTTTGAAGCGACAGGGTTCGAGCTTCAATGTGAGAATCAATATTGGGAATGATGCAAGTACGCCCCCGAATGATGAGTCGTAAATAGAACTATGTGAACTTCCTGGATGCTATTACAAGCCATAATTCAAAAATCCCAAATATTTCAATAGTAAAAATAATTTATTCGAGATATTAAAAAAATACTACCATCATATTTGTCAGTTAACGTACAATTAATTTAGACTTATCTAAATGTGAAAAATAAAACAAATAATCTTAGCTATGGTGATAATTATCAATAAAAAAATGCTGGACACGTTCGAATAGTTATTTTTACTTCTAAAAAAAGGAATGAAGGAAGAGTTTATCATCAGTTGTTAATCTTTAATACAAAAGTTTAGTATGACAAAATCGTAAATTATAAACTAATCAAACTAATCAATCTTCATAATTTATTGAATGATTTTCAACTGTCTAACATAATTCACTTGAGGGTTTGTAAACTCGTTATATGTAGAAAGCAAATAGGAAGCATTTTACCACAATGTTACAAATGAATTGAAATTCTAGATGAACTAGAAAGACCTTGTAAAATTTACTCTTAGTTTACAGTATGAATTGGTCTTAATAATATAATTAATTACTTCTTAGTTTTCAAAAGTTGTATAACTAAAATCAATTTATGATGAGAATAAAATGTTGAGAAAAAATATCTCAAAAGTTGTATAACTAAAATCAGTTTATGATGAGAATAAAATGTTGAGAAAAAATATCTCATGTTGTGTCAAAAAAAGAAGGATTTTCGATTAATTTCCATTAAAAGAAATACACATACATTTCAATTACGCAATAATAACAGTCACTCAAACATGTTTTACACATGTGTTACAATAAGAAAAAAACACTCTTCAAATAACTCTATGTGTATTCCTCACACAAGTTCGAAATGAATATCATTATTAATATTATTGTTATTATTATTATTATTATTATCACCGTACTATATATTAATATTGTATTTTACCAAGCTATATACCAGACAATAAAGTCTAAGTGACAAAACGAAAGTCCACATGACGTCATCATAACTCACAGAACTATAGTTAATTAAGGCAAATAGTATATGTACGTATTATAGACTATGGCTTACATAAGAATTTCACCTTAAAGCAAGACAAATGTATGTAGCATTTTTCTTTCGTATTAAGTGATCAATAAAATGAAAACAAAAGTACATGAACAATAAAACTTACTGAAACTTATTAAAATTTATAGAATCAAACATATACCATGTGTATTATTCAGAGAAAAACGTAAATTTTGCTAACCAAAAAAGATAATAAAATAACATGGAAGTAATTTAATAAACAGACACATACACACACGATTATTAGTCTTGTAATTCATGATTGGTCTTTTTGGAAAAGTCTTAGTTATTAAATATAAAGAAGAAAAATACATCTACCTGTTAAATAATTAAAGCATGAAAATGACTAGGTCTGTTACATTTTAGTACGTCATCATCACCTCGTCCAGTTAAATAGTGAAGTGTAGAAAGAACAAGAAGGTAGAAATGTCTTTTTTCCTACAATGTCATTCAATAAACTTATTTTTATCTATTTGTTTGTTTGCTTTACTTATCAGTACTTTTCCCCACTGAACGGATGGATGAATGATGATTGGCCTCTATGTCCTAGAAATAAATTAACATTTATTTATTAATTTATCTGTCTGTCTACTTGTCTATTGTCTAAATTCATTCGTTGTATCAAATTTCAATAAATTAGTATTTCTGTGACGAAAACATATTTTTTTATTGTTGTAAAAACTGACCTTAAAACCTGAATCCAGGTCAAAAATAAATGGTAACTAATTATATTGTAATTGTATTTCTTTTTCAAATTATAATACAAATGATAAAAAATTACAAATCACATGCATAATTAGTTAATAACTGTAACATTACTAGAGATTTTGATTAAATTCTAAATATTGTCAAATATTTTGATATAAACAAAAGAACGTGAACAATATTGTTAAATGTAAAATATAAACACATTTATTAGTATAGGGTTGTGAAGATTGTTGAGTTTTGACTAAGATCATGGATCGATCAATGTTAGACCACCTTTGAAAACCTGGAAGTACCGGATGGCCGTTTCATCCTAGTATTAAAAGCCTCAGCAGTACACATCCACGATCCCGCACACGAGTTTTTAATGGTGATCTAACATTGATCGGTTCATGATCTAAATAAATATAATTAACTGAAAATTGATCTTTCAATTCTGAACCAATAGAAACCTAATTAGATAGAAAATAAATCACTAAATAACTCTTTTTGTCTAGCTTGGTATTTGTCTCTAATGCAGTAATACAGTACTGACCACATTCAGCATTAAAATGAAAGCAATAACTACGTGTCAAACTCAACATTTAAATTGTAACATCATTGATATCTAAATGATGAGTATGGTTACAGAAAATATTCAGAAAATACTGTTAAGCATGAGAAAAACTACACATTATGTAATTCATAAAGATTATACGACTATTATATTTCTCATGAAGTAAACTAATTTAGTCACGAAAACAAATTAGTCAGCACTTTAAACTGAAATCAATGAAATAAATGTGAGATAATCTTTTAAAATTAAAATGGAATACGAACTTTTATTCTCTCTCCGAATTATTATTATTATTTTAACACAGATATCGGCACAAGAAGGCAACAAATACATATGTGCCACACAGATCTCATTTGATAAGCGTGAGGGCTGTGATACTGTCCGGGTGCCCAAACCGAAGCAGGTGGTTTTCTTAGGGGCCACACCCCGAGCCTTTGACCTGAACGTCTGACCCACAAGGCAGTGGAGCATCGTGAGGAGATGCAGTCCCATGGTAGCCGGTGACCAACGATTGGTTCATACGCCATTTGTTCCCGCAGGATACTGGAGCCCATGTGCACCATTGATTTGGGGTCCGGTTAAAGCGCCGGACATTCGCTTTTCGTCCTCTCATTTTCGTAAACAACACCCTCGCCACGAGAAGGCAGTGAGTAGGACTTCCCTGGCAGAGGCTATATACGCATGGCCATGTGAGAGCATTTCGAGAGGAGGAGCGGACTCTCCCCACTCCCGGCCATACCAGGGCATCTCCGAATAAGAGATTACAGTCAAATACTAGACTCTGTTTCGAGTAGTTTACCAAGAATACGTAGAAACATTAATGTTATTATTCAAAAAGACAATGGCAGCTTTATAACTAAACCAATCAGCTGGGGAGATGGTAACATGTCAACAAAAGAATATGGATCATACAAAATATATATTTGAAGGATCT